CACCGACTGTCACTTAAGTTTACAATTCGTTGCACGGTGACCACCTAAGTACAATTTGTTGCAAGCTAACCACTTACATTGAATAAACGTTGCAATGTCACCATTTCCGTCACTTTAGCTAACAACATGTAGCAAAAGGAAATTTCTCATGCCATGTCGACTCACCACGTCAGTTGTAGCCTCCTAGTCAGACCTGGCCCACTAAATAGAATGGGCATCTTACTTGCAAGGCAATTTAAGATATAAACAAGCTCTTCCTAGAGGTTGTTCAGCTTTCCCTCTTCTTTAAATCGCAAGCTGCAGTGGCAAAACCTTTCTTCCTCCAAAGAACGACGCAACCAATAGGTCTTGGTAAGTGTTGAATATGCCGCAACATAAGCATTTCCATAAACGTTGAAGGTGTCTTTGTGTCTCGTGTGGTAAGCTAACTCGTGCACTTGTTGTTCTTACGTTCGTTCTTTCTTTGTTCCTCTGTTCTTATTTATAATCTATTATCAAAATGATTACAACCATCAGGGAAGTTGGAGAATTAAATCATATACCAACATATGATTCCAACCATTAGGCGCCTACTGGTTTTCTTAAGGAAACTATAGGTTTTGCAACCCTCTATCGTACAATGCTGACAAGCCTGAGATTTCCAGCAGCTCCCTAGCAATACATCTATTTCACTTTATGACCTCTGGGATTCACATCAGTCCACAAGGGTCGAAGAATCGCCGGTTCACCACAGCGACACAATGGAGTTGTTGCCGTCATTGAAAAGCTGTAGAAAGAGGGATGAATGCATCTTCTTTGATTCGACGAACAATACTTTCTGGAATGGTGATATAGGAGGAAAGGAGAATATGTTGCGGTAGCATGACAAGATTATGGGAAGATGGAAGGATTAGAGAGGAGAAAGATTTTCACTGCGGGGAAGAGGGAAGGGATGGAGATGAGATATCAGTGAGCATTTTTTTTAGTATTGATTCGGGCCTAATTGTACATTTTTTATCCCCGTTTCTTTTTTACGGTTGTGGCAATTGAGCTCCAAAAAGGGTGGTTTTACGCTAGGTTTCTTGTGTTACACTGTGTTTCGGAGTCTAACAGGTGAAACCAACCCCGGAGTCGAAAGTTGGAAGAAAAGGAGCAAGGATCGGGCAAAGAGGAGTTTCCAGCCACAGTTCACGGTCAGTCATTGGAGTTCACGGTCACCAGGACCGTGAAGTGGAACCACAAACCGTGAACCGCGAAGCGTCCAGAGAGGTTTCAGAGGTTATTGACGCCAAGGCAGTTCACGGTCGCCAAGGCATTTCACGATCGCTAAGACCGTGAACTGGGGCAATGGACCGTGAAGACCAGAAGTGAAGCGACGCGTTTTGCTCACAGTTCACGGACGCGTCCTGATGTTCACGGCTGTGAACTGGACACGATCTCAGTATATAATGAGAGCTGAAAGGAAGAAGAGGGAGAGCCCAAAGTGAGAGAAACATTCTTCTTCTTGAAACCCTAGAGAGAGAAAGCACGAACCAAGAGGGAGAAGAGGATAGGGTTTTGCTCCAAGTGAAGATTTTGGAAGCTCCTCTTCAAAGGAGGATCTCTACAAGCACAATGAGAGTTGAAGGCATCACAATGATGGTTTCTTTCTTCCTCTTTTGTGTTCTTCCATTGTCTAGAATGGAGTAGTTTCCCTTTTCACTTGGATGTTGTAGAACTCTAACTTCTATCATGTAATTGATTGTGTGGATTGAATTTTGCGTGATGGTGGTGTTTAATTTAAGTATTGAGGTATTTTTCATGGTGATTGTGCATAATGTTTGCTTGACAATCTATTGTGCTATTCTAACCTAGCTTAGAGAGAAGCCTCCTTATCTTAAGAGGCTTAAATTGAGATGGGTTTTCTTAGGCATTTCATGCCTCCTAACTAGGTTAACGTGCAAACCTCTAACTTGGATTAGACACCTAGGTTAATTTTGAATATCCCGTCCAAACCTTGGTTTGAGAGAAGGAAAGTCAACCCTCAATTTATTGGGCCAAGAGGGCTAAAATTGTAGCCTCTATGTTTTCCCTGGCCTAGCAATTGAGAGATGGTTTCTAACCATTGTTGCACCTCCTACGGGTCGCAATTGCCTTGTCACACATCGTTTCATTCGATCCACAATCCATGGTAGTTAGTTAGGGGGAAGCAACACCCGAGTGAAGCTTCTCACCAAGAGTTTTCCACTATTTTGCTTTCCAAGTCTTGCTTTTCAATAGTAGATCGTAGAGATTTTTGCAAAACAACAATCTGCTAGATAATGTTTCAAACAATCGAATTAGGGGTACATGAGTCGGCCCAGGTTGATATTTAAACTTACTTGCCCTATATTGCACCTATCTAAGGTTTATATTTGGGCCTTAGGTGGGAATTTATTGTGATAGTCGGAGCAAGTCAAGTATTGAAATTGTTTAGATTTAGTGGGCTATGTATGACTAGGCGGCTACAACTGACGTGGCAAGTCGACATTGCTTGGGAAATTTGCTTTTGGTACCTGCCATTAGCTAAAGTGACGGAAATGGTGACGCTGCAACGTTTATTCAACGTAAGTGGTTAGCTTGCAACAAAACATACTTAGGTGGTCACCGTACGTACACCGAATTGTAGACTTGAGTGACAACCGGTGCAATTAACCCCAATTCAATATAACATTAACTAGTTTTTTATCGACATTAACTACCTTTTTATTAATAAAAAAGTACTCAATTTTTACCAAGGCTGTCAACCCGCGGGTCGACCCCCGAGTCGACCCACTTTGACCCTGGCCCGATGAGAAAAACGGGCCGCACGCACCCGCCGAGTCGACCGCTATAAGGTACTGGGTTGGAGGTCAAATTGTGTCATTTTTTCTTTGGTTTGCGAAATGCGCCTATTTTCCGATTTTTCTTTTCGCTTAACTCCATCTTTGGAATCCTAAGTTGGACATTTGAATGTATATGTTATATAAGTGTGTGTGAATTTTCACTATATGTTGGATCTAAGTACGGCATGTTATTATGGTGGAATATTATATGTTATAACTCATATGTTAGATGAGATTTTATATAATTTATCAGGATAAGTATAATATAATGACTCTTTCTATATTTCGGGGCTAAAATGGGTGACCCATTAACCCTTGACCCACTATCTCCAACCGGTCGAGTCAACCCACGGGTTGACAACCTTGATCTTTACTAATTTAATTTTTCTAAATTTTTACCAAAATACTTAATTATTCTACTATATTACTATTCAAAGGAAAAGTGAAGAAGGCTCTTGATTCTTTGATTAATCTCTTCATTTATTTCTTTGCCAAATTGTCAACTAGTAGGTGATAATTCAGATCAAGGTCAGGCCACGAGGGAAGAGTACAATTCAGCGGCGCATCAGGCATCAGCCACGCCGAGTCGATATCACGGTTGCCGTGAATCCCATAAATACGAAATCCCCTTCTGACCTACCCTTCTTTGAGCAAAATTGAAATTCCATTCTTTCCGCTTCCCCAATCTTTCCCCACTGATTCAATCCTCGACCAGAAACAATGAGCTGGTGGTGGGCTGGCGCCATTGGAGCCGCTAAGGTAATCTCTTGCTAACCTCAATCAACCTTAATTTATCTCCAATTCTCCATCCCACTTCCGCTTTTGACGAGTTCGAAACTGGGTTCGTCTCCGATTTGGTTTATCCTTTTCCCTTTTCTTCCTGCAGAAGAAGCTCGACGAAGAAGAGCCGACGCGAAATTACCAGAGCGTGGCCCTAGTAGTGGGCGTCACCGGGATCGTGGGCAACAGCTTAGCCGAGATCCTCCCGCTCGCCGACACTCCCGGCGGCCCATGGAAGGTCTACGGCGTAGCTCGCCGCCCTCGCCCCAATTGGAACTCCGACCACCCCATCGAATACATCCAGTGCGACATCTCCAACGCCGCCGACGCCGAATCTAAGCTCTCCGCCCTCTCCGATGTCACTCACATCTTCTACGTCACGTGGGCAAGCTGTCCCACCGAGGCCGAGAACTGCGAGATCAATGGCAGAATGTTCAGGAACCTCCTCGCCGCCGTAGTCCCGAACGCGCCGAATCTCCAGCATATTTGCCTTCAGACCGGCACAAAACACTACGTCGGACCCTTCGACTCCTTTGGCAAAATCCAACCCCACGATCCTCCCTTCACAGAAGATCTCCCGAGGTTGAACTCCCCCAATTTCTACTACACATTGGAAGATATCCTCTATGAAGAAGCCGGTAAAAGGGAAGGGTTATCATGGTCCGTACACCGGCCAGATCAAATTTGGGGGTTTTCTCCCTACAGCATGATGAACATGATTGGGACACTCTGCGTCTACGCTGCCATATGTAAGCACGAGGGTTTGCCTCTGATTTTCCCGGGGACGAAAGTTGCCTGGAACTGTTACGCAAACTCGTCGGATGCTGACCTGATCGCCGAGCATCACATATGGGCGGCGGTGGATCCTTATGCTAAGAACGAGGCGTTTAATACAATGAATGGGGATGTATTCAAGTGGAAGCATTTGTGGAAGGTGTTGGCAGAGCAGTTTGGGATAGAGAATTATGGGTTTGAAGAGGATGCAGAGAAGAGAGTGAGCTTGGTGGAGATGATGAAGGACAAGGGACCGGTTTGGGAAGAGATAGTGAAGCAGAATCAGCTCGAGCCGACGAGGTTGGAGGAAGTTGCGACTTGGTGGTTTGTGGATTTGTTGTTTGGTGTGGAGGCTGTTCTTTCGAGCATGAACAAGAGCAAGGAGCATGGGTTCTTGGGGTTCCGGAATTCGAAGAGCTCGTTCATTTCCTGGATTGATAGAGTGAAGGGTTACAAGATTGTGCCCTGAACCAAATTGCAGCTGCTTCTGATGGGTTTGCGTGAGTTTGGAATGTAGTATTGTTTGTTGTTGTATTCTGTTTGATAACTGTGAAAGCTTGGAGATTTTCTTTTCTGTTTCCTTCTCTTGATCCCTGGTTTCTAAATAAGTCAGTTCTGTTGTAAAAACATTTCATCTATTTGTTTATTTGATGTTGGGGATTGATTGATAATAGTGATTCACAAACAATGTGGCTTCCAATTCATTGAGATGTGAAAGTGTAGTGAACATCAGGAATATGCGGCTCTCCACAACTACAAGTCTGCTTACTGATAACATAAGAACACTTGCACTAACTCCAGCTAACACTCGATAACTTGGAACTAGGGGTTACAGCACAATCTGAAGAAGCTATTGCTCTAACTTGAAACCTGCTTCTGAAGTTGCTTGCTGCTTGGGGTATTAGCATGAGTCTTGCTGTTGGTGGACTTGCTGCTGCTGCTGCTGCTATTGATTGGTTCATCTTTGTTACCGAATTCGACGCCATGGAAAGTGAGTCTGGATGATCTGTAGTGACTACCAAAGGCACTGCCAAAGCCCCATCCGAGTCCTAGACCAACTCCACATCCACCCCCTGTCAAAACAAAAGCGACAAAATAAAACAAAATTCAGCTAAAGGCTGAATGGACTACACTTAGAGCGCGAGGAAAGTAATGTACACACAATGAAATTATGCTTACCTGCACCAAGGCCCAAGATATTCATTGGCATGCCTGCGAAGAAACATGAGAGACATTGAACATTAGGAAACGAGACGCTTGGTAATGGTTTAGGACAAAAGAGAAGGATATGTTGCAGTAACAGATAGGAAGATGCAAAATGATGGAATAAAATCGAGTATAATCTGATCTTCATCTTCTGATATGTAGGCAAGGAGATATACACACTGAAGTACCACAAAACTGATATCCCAAGTTCCAACATCTTCAATAGATCACCATAAAAGGCAAGATCTTCGCACGTCATTCCCTAACTATGATCTGCAGCTCAACTCGAAGTGATACTCAAACTTGCCAAATAATCAGTGGCAGGGCTAAATCAGCTTCCTGCACCAAGAACAACTACAAGTCCGGAAAAACAAGAAGACTCAACAGTACTATTGGCTACTTTCTATTCTACTCAGCAGGATGGAGCAGATACAACATAATTCACACCCAAACCCATCAAGAATTGGGGATAAATTTCTTCCCAAACTAAAAAATGAGGTGGGTTACTTCAAAGTCCAAACACATCCAGCTATTAAAGGAAATGGCTTTGAGGAGGAGGGGGGGAAATCGAAAAGAGTAGAAACTGACCGCCAAAACCCCATCCAACGCCGAAGCCACAACCAACTCCAAACCCTGAGGAAGAGACGCAGAAGCAGAAAGTTTCTATTAGGCAATTAACGGGAAGAGAAAACGAAGGAACAATGCAATTAAAGAGAAATAATTTCAATGGGGCGGAGAGAATCGGCGGTACCAAATCCAACGCCGACGCCGTCAAAATTGGTAAGCACCATTGAGTCAATCTCCTGTCTCCCCTTATTAGAGGCTGAGAGCAGAGGAAGGTCGGAGTTGGGCTTGACCTCTGGATTCCGATTCAGGATCGAAATTTTATGGAGCTCACTTTAAAGTCGTGTGAGGGAGAGAGATTGGTAACTTCAGCTGGAGAGGGTGCTGAGAACTGGAAAATGGAGAAGTAATGAGCCGACGACAGGATGGTGATCGTCCTCCATCTCTTAAATTTTGGGTTAATTGCAAGTTTGGTCACTGAAATTACTAAAAACGTTCACGTTTGGTCATCAAAAATATTTAATTCCAATAATGGTCACTAAGATTAGTTTAACAGTTCATGTTTGGTCACTCACCGTTAGTCTCCGTCTAATTCCGTTAACGTCGTCAGTCATTTGCTGATGTGGCTAACAGAAGTACTAACTCACCCAATTTTAATCTGCCACATCATCAAATCCGACCCGCCATGTCATCATGCCCAACCCAACCATTTAACCAAACCCGACTCAGTAACCGATTCATATTAAAACAAATTTTCAAATTAAAATCCCTAATGTGTCGTCTTCTCCTCCCGACTTTCTTCCTCTTCCTTCTTCGATGGTTCACCGCCGACAAGGGAGGAATAGAAACAGACCGCTGCCTCCGACTCCCATCACTGCCCGCCATCCCCGCCGCCTCTCTCCCGCAAGCTCAATCTCACCATCTGCTTCTACTAGACCAAGTTTGGTAGGAAGATGAGAAACCCCTGATCGACGAGACGGTGGAGAGGGATGACGCGCCGCCCCACCTCTGCGATTCCTGCTCCAGCTTCGAGATTCTCATCGCCCGCCTCTTAAGTGTCAGATCGTCACCCTCCGACCCGGTCCGGAAGAGGAGATGTGCATCATCTGCACCGTCAACGCGCGCGTTACAGCGCGGGGTCCGCTGCCGCTGCCGAGAGGGTACTACGACAATGCGTTCGTGTTTCCAGCAGTAGTGGCAACCGCTGGAGACCTTTGCCGGAACCCGCTCGGGTTGCCTTAGATCCCTGTAACTATTCTCTCCCTCTCTTCCTGCCTTTGTCGATTGAAATTTCTTTTCATTTTTTAATTAATTTTGATTTTGCAACCAAAGTTTAGGAACTCCACGTTCACAAGATAAACCAATTCCCTCACTGATCTCGTCCTTACAGCCCTCCACCATAGTGGCAGGGTGCATGAACGGCACAATCCTCCACCGACCATGAATCCCGTCGTCGGCGAGACTGATAAACAAACTGACGAAGCTCCGGCAGGGGCAAGTGAAGTGGGAGAAGCATGGTGGTTGGAGGGGAGGGACCAGGAAGGGGATTTTGTGTAACTAGGGTTTGAAAGAGGCGGAGGAAGAAGAGGGAGATTGGGATGCGGCAGAGATGGATTGGTGATGGCGGGTCTGGGTCTCATGAAAGGTGGTGTTGATTTTTTGTGATGGAATCGGTTTATAGGTGGAGCCGTTTTAAAGGGTTGGGTTGGGTTGGAGAACTTGACATGGCAAGTTTTAATGATGTGGCAGGTGACATGGCATTTCTGTTAGATGACATAACACTTTTGTTTGCCACGTCAACACTTAACAGACTCTATTAACGGAGTTGGACGGAGACTAACGGAGATTGACTAAATATGAACTGTTAAACTAATCATAGTGACCATTATTGGATTTAAATATTTGGAGTGATCAAATGTGAACATTTTTAGCCATCTCAGTGACCAAACATGCAATTTACCCCTTAAATTTTTTTGGAAATTGGGCCGAACATATTAGATTTCTGAAAGAGGGGACAAATTCTGGGATAGGCGTGTATTAAATAATTGGGCCATTACTCATTTAGTTATATGAGCGGGGGCAAACAAATGGGCCAACAGCCACCCAGGAATGGCAATGGGCAGGTCCGGGGCGGGTATATCGATACCCATACCTGCCCCATGGCAGGTCAGGTCCAGGTCGGGTAATTTATCACGGGGCGCGGGTCGGGGCAGGTCGACCCATTGGATATGTAATTTTTGCGAAAAACATTAGAAACATTCGTTATTTTCATTAAAAGACCAAGAAAGAAACCATAATATGATAAAATGTAGTTAAATTATTGAAGAAATTGAGGTTTTCACTTATTTACAACTTTATTATAGCTAAAATATAATGTAATAAGAGGAAAATCCTAAGTAATTTGACTAATATTATATGTAATAATGGCAAGTACGGGTCGAGAATGGGGCGGGTCAGGGCAGGTCGGGTCGATGAGAGGTACCCATGTCCGCCCCGCCCCGCCTACGGGGCGGGTTTGACCTGCCCCAAAACAGGTCAAACAGGTCGGGTAAATCGGGTCAGGTCGAAATTGCCATCCCTACCCCCCACTTCATCTGTTTGGGCTCTTGTAGGGGGAAACGCAAAGGTATGCTTGATCGCTTTCTACATTCTGGTTTATATTAATTCCAATTTCGTAATCCATGATATCAACTAAAATTCAAAAGATAAATCTCTCAATTCCAAAAATAAATTTTATATTTCACAATTCATGAATTTTTAGAAGTTCGATATATCTTATATATCGTTACCAAAATTTCAGCTCTAATAAAAGCTTATTGTTGTAGAAATGTCAATAGATAATTAGTTAAATCGATCGCTGAGTATTATAACATCAGTATAAAATAACCACCGATATATTTTCTCCTTTTCAAATTTTTTGCCTAATATTGAAGTCTATACTAGGATAGTATTTTGATCTTTTACTGAGAAGTCTAATATGATGAGGCAACTACTAGTTCAAACTTAAATTGTTGATGGGATAGCATAGGGAACCCCAGGCATGTATGCTTGCTAGCTAAGAACATGGCTAGTAGATGTTTCCTATGGCCAATATCAAGAACATAATAATCGACTCGAGGGTCAGGAACTAAGTGAACTATAGTAAATGGATTAGAGACAAAGATAATTTGATCTATCAACACCGTCTTTACTCTTGTCAATTAAGTGCTATACAAGTAGATATATCATATAAGAATTTTTTGCTTTTATCCTGATAAGTCACATGAAAATCTTTGTCAATCAAAAGAATGATTAAAAACGATATGAACTTTGTAACGTTGCATTCATATAAGAACACAATTTGTTTTTCAATTTTTAACCAAAACAAATTACGATTGAGCTTGTCAGCATCCACATAATGAACCACCTAATTCACTATTCAAGTAGTTTTAATCGTGATAAAGCCTAGCCACCTTAGTGATTACATATGAAAATAGTAAAACTACAACCAGACTGGACTCCAATTACAAGCAATCATAATTTATAAGTCATAACTCATAACACCATAATTGGAATTTGGAAAACAGGCCAATTCCAAACACTCTAGAACACACAATTAACGACATAAAATTTACATTACGATACAACTTTAAACAATTCAGTTCGACATGTCTATTATCATTTTATAATTCACCTTCAAGTTAAAAGTTATAACCTGTCATAAAGAAAAATTAATGTTATAAGAATCAGAAGTTCAAAAATGTATTCATTTTGTTTTTGTGCATTATGGCCGCTGGCGTTCATTCTGTGTCAAGGCACAATCCTGAAAGCCTTCAATTTATCAATCCAAGCAACAAACGAGCGATCCGAATTCCTGAACCCTAAAAACCCATGCTCTTTACTCTTATTCATACTCATCATCATCCCACCGCCTTCACCTCCACCGCCGCCTTCGCCATCGCCGCCGAGCACCTCATCCACGTACCACCAGTTCCCAACCTCCTCCAGCTTCGTCGCCACCAGATCGTTCTTCCTCACAATCTCCTCCCACACCTTCTCCTTCCCCTTCATCATCTCCGCCAGCCCCACTCGCCGCCTCTCCTCCGCCTCCTCCATCCCCTGCTTCTCAATCCCGAACTGCTCCGCCAGCACCTTCCACAGCTGCTTCCACTTGAACGCGTCCCCATTCATCACATTGAACGCCTCGTCCTTCGCGTTCGGGTCCACTGCCGCCCAGATCTGGTGCTCCGCCACCAGATCCGCGTCCGACGCCGCCGAGTACCCCTTCCACGCCGCCTCCGATCCGGGGAAAATCAGCGGCCTCCCTTCGTGCTTGCATATGGCGGCGTACGCGCACAGGGACCCGATCACGTTCATCAGGCTGTACGGCGAGAACCCCCAGATCTGGCCCGGGCGGTGGACGGACCACGTCAGCGGCCGGCCCTGCTTCCTCGCCGCCGTCTCCTCGAACAAGACGTCTTCAAGGGAGTAGTAGAAATTTGGGGATCTCAAACGGGGCAGATCCTCGGTGAAAGGCGGTTCGGGTCTTGGGCCGGGTTCGGGCGACCTGATGGGGCCCACGTAGTGGTTCACGCCCGTCTGTAGGCACACGTGGCGGAGGTTGGGCGCGTTGGGGACCACCGCCTGGAGGACGTTGCGGAACATTTGGGAGTTGACCCGGCAATTCTCCTCCTCCGTGGAGCAGCGGGCCCACGTGGCGTAGAAGATGTGGGTAACGTCGTTTAGCTGGGCAAGCTTGTATTTCGCGGCGGCGGCGTCGGCGACGTCGCATTGGATGTAGCGCATGCGGTGGTCGGCGCTCCAGGCGGTACGGGGGCGGCGGGCAACACCGTAGACTTTCCACGGTCCGCCGGGGGTGTCGGGGAGCGGGAGGATTTCAGCCAGGCTGTTGCCGACTATGCCGGTGACTCCCACGATCAGGGCAACGCTCTGGTAATTGGTCCGAGGTGCGGCGGCGTCTACGTCGGATTTCTTCTGCAAAAAGAAAAAGAGAGAGGGGAAATTGTGAGATCGGAGAATGGGTTAGAAGGGACGGCGGTTGAGAAAGGATTGAATGATTGGTGATTAATTTTACCCTGGTAACGCCGATGGCACCTGCCCACCACCAGCTCATGGTTTTTCCTTGGTTTTGGATGGAGAAAGGAAATTAAGAATTGGGAAATGAAAGGACAAACTAGGATTATGACGGGGGAGGAAGGAGATTAAGGATGAGAGTTGAAACGTAAAGGTACGTAATTGGATTGAACGGATTGGGATGTGGATGGAGTTAGGGGTTCGCGGGAAAATCTGGACTGGTTGGAACGCAGAGCGGGAAACTTGGATGTCTGTTAAGGTTCTGTAAATTCGTTGGTGTAATTAATTAATTATATTTTGATAATCATAAAGAAAAGAAAATTATCTCAATATTTGCTTTTTTCCCCTCTAAACCACCTGGCATATTTTGAGGAGCAAATGTGTAAATCTTTCTTAAATGGAAATATCTCCTATTAATTTGATCAAAATGGTTATATAAGTTTTGATCAAAATGGTTACATAAATTTGGGTCGATAATCAAATGGTTAGTGTTTGAGCATAGAAAGTATTAGGCGGTTGTGTAGAGCACGAGCGAGGCGACCGTTTTTGTTGAGGGAACGTACTCCTGAACCCTACAAAAAAGGGGGTCTATGGGTGACCGCCCATGACACTATCCGAATATTAAGTTAGAGAGAGAAGTGAGAATATGAGTCAAGTTTAGAGAGAGAAAAACTAGTTGAGTTACCATCAATGCTCATACGGAGGTATTTATACCTTGATAGGTGAGGACTCAAGCATTAAATGTTGTATCAGGCGCTCTAAGTATGTACTTTCCCGTAGCAGACCGCCTACGACGGATATTTAATGCACAGTCCTACTTATACCGAGGTAACTGTATCTCCGGATCTTACCCTCCTGTCACCATCAGTGCTTTGTGTCAGGCAGTTTCCTATCGTCTCCCGAGTCGACCGCCTAACTACCAGGAACCGCCCACCTATCTTGGGCCAGACTTACTTTCCTTTATGGGCCTCAAAGTCCAATACCGCTCAATCACGCGGCCCACTAGTTAGTAGTTCGTAATATTTGAAATATGCCAAAAATGTCATATTGTATTATAATATAATAAAATAGTCATTTAATTTCTTTCCATTCATATTTTCATCAAGTGTTAAATAACATAGTTAAGGTCAACTTCAAGGGATCATGTATTCATAGTATTTTGAAAATTCACTATTAATTCAAGTGTGTAATCATTAACAAATGTTAACATAGTTGAAGAAACTAAAATATGTGATTTAACCTTAAAGTCTATAATCCAATTAGTAAGTGTTTCGTTGGCGAAACTCGCGTGTTCAATGCGCACTGTTTTCAAGTAAGCACAACCACAAAGTCAGCAAAAACCGTCAAATATCCACCGCCGAATGTCGGCGTCGTTGATTTGATCGATTACACAGAAATCAAGACGACCGCCAAATATCCACCGCCGGCGTCCGCGATGTTGATTTGATCGATACACCTTTGACTTCTAATCAAACAACCGTTATTCGGTTCACCACCTCTCCAAACTACGTTCGAACGAGGGTGTTCGACGAATAACCAGAAATCAAACAAGGAGTGTTCTAAGTTACGTTACCTCTACTCCTATGGAGGTTCCTCTGGAGAGCTCCGCGACTATGACTACAGACTACGACTACGACTCTGCAAAGGAGGTCTTTGACAGAGCGGTTCTACGAAACTACGGAGAAAAACTGATAATTCTGCGACGGTGCAGTTTGAGATTTGATTTTGCCGTCACGAGCTTCTCTCTCTTCCCAATCTTTATACTTCGCGCTTCTCCCCGTCGTAGTAGCTGCCTTCGCGCCTTTGTCTCCCACGTCTTCATTCCTGTCAACCGTTCAGGTAACTTCCTCCTTGTTGCGTGATAATCACGTGCCCTCGAAACCGCTCTTGCTTTGCATAAACTTGGCGAAACGACTTACAACCTTGTCCATGTAACGATGACGTTTCACCAATACCACGACATCGCCTTTCACCAACCGATGTTTTATAATCCAACTCAACTGTCCCGACCCGGTTTAACCAACGGCATTGTTAGTCCATCAAACAACGTCGTTATGTACTCTTGCGCCGTCGTTGGGCTTGGCGGGCTGCCTTTGGCCGAACTCTTACCACCATCGCGGTGTCGTTTTACTTTTTCGCGGCATCGCTTTTCATTAAACGACACCGTCTAAAATAATCATAAAATACCAATTAATTAAACCAGCCCTCATTGTTAACTCGTCGTCGAACTTTCACCCCTCGGCGTCGTTCTTAGTTAAACAACATCGTTTCCTTGTCCCGCGACGTTGTTGAACTTTTGAGCTTCGCGACACTGTTTTAATTTTAAACACTGTCGTTTTAACTGTTGCGGCATCGTTTGGCCTACTCGCGGCACTGCTTTATAATCCGCGTTGTCGTTTCTTTCCTCTTGCGGCATCGTTTTCAACTAAACGACACCGTCCCAAACAGTCATTAAAATATTAATTTATCAATCCGGTCATCACAAGTCAAACACGCGTGTTGACCAACGACATCATTAGCACCAAAACGGCTCTGTTTGCTTTTCCTTTCGCGACATTGTTTGTTATTTTAAACACTGTCGTTTGCTAGTACAACGGCACCGTTGGGCCTACTCGCGGCACTGTTTTGAACTTAAACGACACCGCTGATATAGCCGAGACAAATTCCATGGAACCACCGCCAATCGGCGCTCGCATTGGACTAGGCGAATTTTGGTTTAATTAATCGGTACCGCTTACCAGGCTCTCGCGGCATCGTTTTTAAATCCGCGGTACCGTTTTAATTCTCCGCGGTACCGCTTGTCTCCATGTGGTGCCGGTTTTCCCCTTTCGGCAAGGAATAAAGAGAATAATAATTAATTAGAAAAACTCCTTCTCCAACACCCAACCAACCGCGCGGCCCCTTTTATTTTCATTAAGCGGTGTCGTTTCCCATACGGCGGTACCGCAGAGCTTCCTTGCGGTACCGTTTTTCTGTTTCGCGGTATCGTTTTAACTCTCCGCGACACCGACACCGTTTTTTACCCGCGGTATCAGATTAAATGCCGAGACTAATTAATGCGGCATTTAATTCCGGCCACATTAATTTAACGTATCAACAGTAAGTAACTCATCTATTTGTTATCCACACATATGTAGGGGTGCTAATCATTTCGGTGTCGATAAATTACTAACTAATTTGGCGATTACTGGTTAACTACTAAGCCAAAAATGTTACAGATAACCCTTGTCGGCACGGCTAGCGATTAAGCACTAATCAATAACAACCACACATATGTCATTTTCCTTTTGTTGAATTTGAATATTTTGTGTGGTTTCCTTTTCAATAATTCAACATAATTTTAGACAATTGTTCAAAACAATTAAACGTTGTAAACATAAAAATAATAATCATAATAAATGACATCAATAGAATACATCATTCATCATCGTGGTTATATTAGTAGGTGATTATCAATTTGCTTGTCGGTCAACCATTAACCGATTAGTCGATTAGCAGTTAACCATACCATTAAAGAATTATCGATTATCAGTTAACCACTAACCACTAACCGCGTCATTGGCTTGGTTATCTATTTTATTCAATAACCGACCAACTGTTTGCCAACTATAATCGTCTTGTCGAATCACCAATTGAGAGTCCCCCAAAGAAATTCACTACTAAAAATCCATACGTCGAAAAATGACTGGCTTTTACTACGAGTTCAATAAGTGGCGAAGTGTAACCACATATTGGGAAGCATTATAGTAAAATGAAGTCTTAATATGTCAACTCAGAACATAGATATACCAGTTCTCAGTGAAGTTTCTATTATCTAGCAATTAAGTAGACAAAGCAAAGACAACTCGCGAGCCTAAAGAGCCAAATAAAACTTTGTTTTGACTCTCATTAGTAAATGAGCTAAACTAATGATCGAGCTCATTAATTACTGAGTCCAACTTATTCTGAACCAAGCATCGAGCCATTTGTAAGCAAAGTTAATTGCATAGCAACTAGTGGTCCCATATCCTTTCTCCAACCCCTCCATATTCACTCATGAATACATGTTCGTTTAGCTTGCTTCTTGCATAGCAGCTGTACCACCCAACCAGCCAAACGGCTACCACTATTGGTCATTAGTCATTACATTAAGACCATATCTGGCTTTGGTCGCCCAACTCATCAACTCATTCTTAGCAGCCAACCACCCAGAAACAGAAAGATATGCTTATCTACACAACACACACACCAACTGGTGGTTATAACTTTTCAAGTATATAATCTCCTTTGCCAAAATAGTCAAACCTTCTCCACTGCATTTCCTGGCCTGTGTTTCTTCTTTATACAACAATACAAAGACCGACAGCTCCTCATCAAATTTGGCAGGCTGGGGATTGTCTGACACGACATATTCATACATGGATACAAACAAGTCACAGATAGATAGATAACCCTACAGCTAATAACTGCAACTAGTCACCTCTCTAATCCGACGCCGTCGACTCCGTCGTCTTCACATCAGAATCCTCCCCTTCTGTTACACCCCCCTCATTTTCCAGTTCTTCACCCATCTGTTGTAGAATGTTGTTAAGGGTCTTATAGTGTACAGAATGCAATCAAACCTGCAACCAGAATTACCATTGTTATAATCCTTCTTCAGTTACTTGACAAAAGAAAAAACTGCAGTCCTACATAGTGTTTGGTGTGACAAGTTGATCAAATTGTATCCTTCTATGAGGTAGACATTGCACCTACCAAGAAGAAGTAATATAGAACAGGTAGGACAATTTATGTCAGTTATGACAAATTATCATAGCAACAAGTTTCTTTCGTACACAAAGGGGTGTTAACCACTCTCTTAAGTAACTGAATCAGCACAGCTGGTGTTGGATGTGGACAAGATACCACACAGGAACGCATTCAAAGGGGCCATTTAATTCGTAGTGTGGAATTCAAGCATTTTCCCTGTGCTTGATTTCTGAACCTATAGAAAACAAACGAGAGTCTCTAGACTTGTTTCAGGAAATAATCATCAGATCTATTCCATGTTTCGGGAATATCTATAACATGGACAACAGCTCTAATTGCTATGATAGTGAGGGATCTCTATGTTGCTTCTCTGCAACACCATAATTGCCCTGGTGATCTCGCATTGTTGAGAGATTACCTAGGCTGTCAAAAGCCTTCTCCAAGACTCAGCTACAGCGAGTCTGAGGCCGACAAAACACAAAGAGGACATTGACACTTTAAACAGAAGTGTAGTAACATTTAACACCTAAGAGGCTGCAACCTCTTCCAGCATATGCAAAATCAAACTAGAGGACGGAGAAGATGGAAGATAAAATGTAAAACATGGTTCAAAATACTGAACCTACAAGCTCCCCAAGACCTAGCTGGTCAGGCATGAAGCATAGCATGCAACTAAGCGAGGGTCTATCAGTATCAGTTTGCCCGGTGTATACACGAGTTCATTAGACAATGCATAGCACCAATCAGCAGGGCTAAATTATCTTTCCACAGAATGAAAGAATTAAAGGTTCATACAGAACCCAGTGGCATGACTATGAGCACAAATCAATCAGCCCTGATACTTTCTTGATGAAGATCAACAAGCATAATACTTTAAAACATGAACAACCCAGTAGCATGCACTGCAAAACAAATCAAGAACAGACGAAATAACTGGAGAAAGTGCACTCACCAATAAAGCAGAAGAGAATGAAAAGCCACAAAACTGATTGAATGGGTCGACCATATTGCATCTGATATTGAGATCTTTGAAGTTGCCTCTGTAATGCACCATACCAGCCATAAAGCGGCTTATCGTAATATTCATCACAGCCATCCAGGCAGCTCTTGCTTTTCTCGTAGCATGAATTAATACCCTGTCTCAAACAAAGAGTTAATCAGAACTGATACCAACATGATCATACAGACAAAAAAAAAAAAAAAAAAGCAGGATCCTCTGGACAAATTCAACATTAAAAAATTAAGGCAACTTCCTACTCACCCTAGTTAAATGTGAAGAATGCAAAGGAATAGAATCAGATTCTTCATAACGATCCATTGCCTTCCACTTCCTAACACCATTCTTTGGCCATTTTAGTTTGGGCATAGATTCAAAGGAACTAACAATCACTGATAGACTAGGTATCTTTCTTGGAGGTTGTTGAGACTCTGCCCGAAACGAATCCTGTTGGACACCATCTACACCAATCGGAATCTTCCAAGCACCCATATCAGCGCCTGCACTAACTGACCTTCTGTGCCCATAAGACATCTCTTCTTTGGTCTCTGGATAAGCACACTCAACCGAATGACTAGCCTCTTTTGAACAATCATCAGGAACTGCTTCTTCCACAGACTTACCGCTCCTATCACTTTTCATAGAGCTGTTTTCTCCACTTATTGGAAGTGGCCCTGAGAGAAATGCAGCAAGTTCATTTCGCTCACCTTCATCCAAGCTCACCCAAGCTAATGGCGCATCCCCTACTGAATTGGCGGATTCCTTCAGTGACGTTTCTACTCTAGAAATTTGGTCCTCAATCGCAATAATGAATTGACTATGTCTTTCTCTAGCACCATCAGTGGAGCTATTAACATAACTCGATTTCACAGCCTTAGCAAACTCCTCCAGCTGCGTAACCAAACTCAATATCAGAATAGACATCTCCAGATCAACAAAATCCAACTTTCTTCCGAATAAATAAGCAGATACCGCATCCACTTTCCCATGGAGAGTAAGCATGAATTACCAGGTTACCTGCCATTTGGTGGTGCCTAGGGTTGTCTGTAAATCCCGGCGGAGTTCCTCTGCGTCCCACATAGTAGAACTGTCTTTCTTGGCATGAAGCCATGTTCTGTAGGTCGATTCCATCCTTTTTTCCCAAACAAGAACAAACAAAAAACAGAACCAAAACTCAGACAATCGTACAGTCAAAAGCTCAAATGTGCAATTGACCTTAGCTATCCCCATCACAAAAATATTCCTGGGGAGTAATCGACCATCATTTTCACACTGCTGGGCCAAACCCGCCCGAACCCTTATGCAGAATTCTCTACCTAACGCAGGAACATCATCTCTTCTGACAAATCGAAGAAAATAAAATGAACTTGTTTCAACAACCCCCAAATCTCGCCGGAGAAATAAAAAATCATCCGCCCACGGTAGAAAGCAGCTAAACTAGCACCAAAGGAAGGTAAATTATTAACCGAAATGAATCAGGAAGCGGGTATACCTGTCGGCGGACTCCTGAACTTCCTCAGCGGCAGGGAAGAATGGATCCTTCTCCCATCGGTCAAAACTGGTTGCCATTTAAATTGAATTCGAATACAGGCCAAAAAACTCCCCCTCGACAGGTTAAACAAAACAAAAAAAGGAGCGCTGCCGGAGGGGAGTAAGAATTTGAAACAGCGACGGACGGGCTTTCACCGGGAAAAGGAACGACCGAATAAATTAATGAGCCCTAGATTACAGGACACTCCTTCTCCTCCCTGCAAATCTCTCGGCGGGCGCCTCCCTTCGACGTCGAGCTCGCCGGGATCAGATATAGATTCTGGAAATCCGAAACGCAGGAAGAAGGGAAAGGAGAGAGAGGGGGGAAGGAAAGAGAAGGTTCGGATCGGTGGTTATAGGAAGGAAAGGAAAGGAATGGGCTTAAGCCTTAAAAGTGGAGATGATAAAAAAGGAGAGAGCAGGAAAGAGGGGATTTAGTTTTTTAACCAATAAAATAATGATAAGCGGAAAAATTAAGCACGCGAAATGCTTGCTGAGGCAGCGCGTGGAGATTATTATTATTAATAAATAAATAAATTCCCAGGAGGAAGAAAGAAGAGCAGAGAGCACAGAAGCGGCGTTGATAGCAGCAGCCAGCCCACCGGCCAACCAAGCCACATTATTATTTCACTTAATATCATATAAATATTTATTAATTAACTAAATATTGTTTCAGTTTAACTGTCGTCTTGTTCATAAATGCCAGCCCCTAATTTTTTTTGTGCATTTTCCTTTTATGACATAAACTTTAGTATATTTCCTTACTCGACTCAGACAATCATATCAAAATTCTTGGCAGGTGGTTGGGAAAGCCATTTGTGAGATGGCTTTTAATTTCTTCGCCACTGGGACCCTGCCAGAGGAAGTGGTGGAGTCTACTGTAGTCCTCATTCCTAAGGTGGACTATCCGGAGATAGTGTCCCAGTTACGTCCGATCTCTCTAAACAATGTGTGTCTGAAGGCTATCACCAAAGCAATAACTAACCGGCTCAAGCCCATCATGAGGAAACTGGTGTCTCCGAGACAGAGTAGCTTTATCCCTGGGCGGCAAACCACGGACAACATTATTGTTTTGCAGGAAGTGCTTCATTCTCTTAGGAAAAAGAAGGGCAAAAGAGGGGGGTTAGTGCTGAAGATCGACTTAGAGAAGGCCTATGATCGCCTGAGATGGGACTTTCTTCGAGATACTCTCAAGGAGGTTGGGTTTCCAAGCACTTGGATCAACTGCATCATGTTCTGTGTTGAACATAACAAAATGAGGCTGCTGTGGAATGGTGAACTCTCTGCCCCGATCACGCCTACCAGAGGTGTTCGCCAGGGAGATCCTCTTTCACCCTATCTCTTTGTTCTTTGCATGGAACGTTTGTCTCACAGGATAGATAAGGCTATTGAGGACAAGCTTTGGAAACCCCTGAAGCTGTCCAAAGAGGGCCCTCCGATATCTCACCTGTTTTTTGCAGATGATCTTATCCTTTTTGCAGAAGCAGGAATGTCCCAGGTTCGGATCATCAAGCAATGCCTTGACGAGTTCTGCCACAGCTCGGGACAGAGAGTGAATTATAACAAATCCGCTATGTTCGTCTCAGCTAATATAGACAGAAGGCAAGCCCGTCGTTTATCTCTCAGAACAGATATTCCCCTCACAGTGGATCTGGGCCGCTATCTGGGTGTCATGGCAATTCATGGGAGGGTGACCAAAGCTCGGTATCGGGATCTGGTGCTGCGAATCCAAAGGAAGCTCGCCCCTTGGAAGTCCAGACATCTCTCGTTAGCAGCTCGTATCACGGTGGTGAAATCCATTACCTCCTCTATTCCTATTTATCCCATGCACACGGAACTTCTTCCTGTGAATATTTGCAGGACTCTGGATCGGATTAACCGGGGGTTCATCTGGGGGGACACGGACAACCAGAAGAAACTCCATCTGGTCGGATGGCCGCAGTTGTTGTTACCCAAAAACAACGGAGGACTCGGCATTCGGTCGACAAGAGAAGTGAACATCTCCATGCTGGCCAAGAGCGGTTGGCGCTTACTCCAAGAGAAAGATAGCTTGTGGGTGCAGATGGTTAGAGCGAAATATGGAGGAGACAGGCAACAGCTTGATTTGCTCAAACCTACTCAAGGAAGTTCCTTTACCTGGGCCAGCTTTACTAAAGCGGCCAACCTGCTTAGGCAGGGTTGCGCCTGGAATGTTCATTCAGGAAGACAAACTAAGTTTTGGTCTGATCCATGGATTTTGCAAGGACCGCTTTACGAGGCTGCGGCTGGGCCGGTCACGGAGGAAGATCGTCAGCTCATGGTCGCTAGTTTTGTGGATGAGGAGGGGAATTGGCTGACTGAAAAGTTTGAGGATTTACTCCCTCCTGAGATCATACAGAAAATCATGGTGCAGGCTGTTGACCCTTTGTCGATGGAGACGGATAAGCTTTTTTGGAAACCAACAGCGGATGGGCGTTTCTCAACCAAAAGTGCCTATGTGTTGCAGCAAGGAGCTCCTGGCACCGAAGGTCAACAGGGGTGGAAGACGATTTGGCACCTCCCGGTGCCGGAGCGTGTAAGATGTTTCATGTGGCTGGTTATGCAGGGAAAGGTGACCACGAACGAGATGCGGGTGAGACGGCATCTAAGCGAGGATGGCTCCTGCTACAGGTGCGTCAGCCAAGAGGAGAACTTGGCTCACATTTTCCGCAACTGTCCCCCTGCAGCTTTTTTATGGCACCGCACAGTCCCAGGAGGAGCCCAACAGGAGTTCTTTAGCCTCTCTTGGGATGCATGGCTACATTGGAACCTTGCCTTCAAGGAGTCAACTATGAACGGAGTACCCTGGAATGCCTTCTTCAGCATTGCTCTCTGGTGCTTGTGGAAAAACAGAAATGAAGGAGTCTTCAAAGGGGAGGACAAGACGCTCTCTGCCTCCTCTCTTATGCAATCCATCAAGATCAAAGCTGCCGTGTGGACGCAGGCCTGGAATGCCCCCTCCCCTCTAGTGGGAAGAGCGAGACTGGCTCGGGATCGCGCTCTGACAGAGGTCGGTTGGAAGGCTCCCCCGACGGGGTGGGTTAAAATTAATGTGGATGGAGCAGCCAAAGGTGAGCAAAGCCTTGCAGGGGCAGGTGGTGTTATTCGTGATGTCAGTAGCAGTTGGGTTAGAGGTTTTGTGTCGAGACTGGGCTCGTGCTCGGCTGCGTTGGCAGAGCTGTGGGCGATTTACCACGGCCTGAAGCTGGGGTGGAACCTTGGATATCGAGCTATCATCATTGAAACAGATTCGCAGCTAGCCATCCAATTGGTGAAGAACAGAAAGGACCCCTTGCACCCGTATGCAGCTTTACTCACAGCGATTAGGAGAAAGATTTCTCAAGATTGGGTGGTGAATCTGGTACATGTATACAGGGAAGGGAATAGAGTCGCGGACTGGCTCTCGAAGCACAGTCTCGTCTATCCCTACGGTATGCATGAATTGGATTCCCCACCGCAAGAGCTTCTCCCTCTTCTTCAGGATGATCAAAGGGGTATTACAAGTTTGAGGAACATTGTGTTGAGTTCCCCAGCCTCCTCTCTGTGACCCTCCTGTTCCATTTCTCGTCCCTTCTTTTCTTCCTTCTTCGGCCTTTGGCCTCCTCAAATGCAAAAAAAAAAAACTATGGGTTATGCATCCATCAATAACCAAATCTGAACCCTTCATTTAGAAAATCCAGATCTAAGGATGGAAAATTAAAGATCATTTTTATTTTCTCTAGCTTTATTAATCGGCCCATATCTTTTTCGTTTTAACTCGGATTTTAATTTTTTTTGCACAGGTGGAACGAGTTCATCGTGCTCTACAAAATGAGATCAATTTTCAATATTTTTTTAGAACAAAAAATTCTGGCCTCTCGGTACCAACTGCATACCATATGGTATTTTCTTCATTTTTAATTCGTTTTTGAAAACGTTTGCACAGAAGGGACGAGTTCATCATGATATATTGGATCTACAAATTTCTGGGTGAACAAATTACAGGACCAAAAAATACCACACAATACCACCCTGGTACGGGGTGGTATTGTATGGTATCTTCTTCGTTTTTAATTCGTTTTTGAAAACGTTTGCACAGAAGGGACGAGTTCATCATGATCTATTGGATCTACAAATTTATGGGTGAACAAATTACAGGACCAAAAAATACCACACAATACCATATAATACCACCCTGGTACGGGGTGGTATCTTGTGGTATACAATGTTAAAAGTCGTAAATGACAATTAATATATTTCTACTATCATGTATTCAACCATCCTACAGTCTTGGTTTGTTCATACCATCATGGTACTTTTTTCAAACCATAGGTATGCTTTTATTTCAATACTAGTCAATACCATATGGTATAGACTGGTAAAAAATGGCTCAATTTTTTTTGTTCGAAAAATATATTAAAGTGGATATCATTTTGAAGAGCACAATTAATCTGATCTAACTGTACAAAAAAAATTAAATTTCGACTTAAAATGAGTGAGAAATCGTCCGTCAAAGATTAAAGAGGGGAAAATTAAAAGCTTTCCAGGAGAGAGAAGATGCTGATGTCATGCTGATGTGGATGGGTTACTCATAGTTACTCACCACAAGGTTACTCACCGGATCTGCTCCCCTCAACTCCTCAATGATTTCTTTTCCCCTGTTTTAGCCGATTTAAAGTTGAGAAATTTTACAATGCTAGCATTGGTGCTATAGGTTTTTGCATTTATGGTACAACTTCAAGTTGTACCTTTAACAATTATGGTATAATTTCAACTTGTACCTATACTATTTTACAAATTCTTTTATGGTACAACTTGAACTTGTACTTTTATGTGATGGTACAACTTAAAGTTGTGAAGTTGTACCATAACATAAGGGTACAAATTCCTTTATGGTACAACCCAAACTTATACATTTTACGTTATGGTACAATTTTAAGTTGTACATTAAAGCACTCATGTTTTATAGCATAGTAGAAGTGCTCTTTAAAGTTGGTTTGAAAGTTGTCATCGTTAAATAAATGTATTGTTGTGAATATGTGTATAATATTATATATGTATTAACAAATTTGATGTATTATCAAACTACAATATTTGGTATTTGTAATTAGGGTAGTTATGTGTCTCTCGGCTAAAAGATGAAATAAAACTATCTCAACAATCATAGTTAAAAGCTGAGATATAACAATCACTCATTTTGAGTGATAGTTCATGTCATATCACATAAACTATCAATGTATTGTGTATACAAAAATAACAAAAGATACATTCTAAAAAATACAAGTATAATAACAATCTCACGAGAACAATCGCAACTTCCAAACAGTTTCTTGGATTAACCTTTCATATAGAGACAGTAATCACTAATCAGGTTAACTTTTTTTTTTTTTTTTTGCTTGCAAGGATTATGAGCATCCTTTTGGGGTATATTTATTCAATACAAGCTGACCTGAATTTGAGATAGTGTATGGTATTATCTGTTATGGGAAAATCCAAGTACCACATCGGTAATACAAGGGAAGGGACCTTGTATATTAGTGTCCACCAAGTTCATTAGTACGAGGCCTTTTGGGGAGGACACCCAAGAGTAAAACCGTGCGGGCTTTGCCAAAGCGGATAATATCGTACTAATGAAGCACCCTGGTTTGACAAGTGGTATCAGAGCCTAATTCGGTGGATCCGGGGCGGTGGACGTCAGTTTGGTGGGACCATCATTCGGTGACCTTGGAATTTGAGATCTGCGTCTGTTTGGTGGATCCAGGAGAGATCCACGTTTGTTTGGCGGATCAAAGAGAGTTTCGCATTTGGGAAGCAGATCAAAGAGAGTTTTGCGTCTAGTAAAGTCCTTGTACCGAGAAGCCCATCGATACAAAGGCGTCTGGCGGATCAAGATAATCGTTGAGGAGAGGACACGAAGTTCGTGGTCCTTGTCTTGAGGGGAGGATTGTTATGAGACAATCCAAGTACCACATCGGTAATACAAGGGAAGGACCCCTTGTATATTAGTGTCCACTAGCCCAATTAGTACGAGGCCTTTTGGGCTGGACACCCAAGAGTAAATCCGTGCAGCCTTGGCCCAAAGCGGACAATATCGTACTAATTGAGTGACCCGATTTCGACAAGTGGTATCAGAGCCTAGTTCGGCGGATAGGGGGCTGTGGATGTCAGTTTGGTGGGACACTCATTCGGTGACCTCGGGATTTGAGATCGACATCTGTTTGGTGGATCCAGGGTAGATCCACGCCTGTTTGGCGGATCAAATAGAGTTTCGCGTATGAAAAAATTCTTGTACAGAGAAGGCCATCGATACAAGGTGTTTGGAAGATCAAGGGAGGTATGCGTCTGTCTGGTAGATCAAAGGTGATCTACATTTGGTCTGGCGGATCAAGATAATTGCCGATGAGGGGACACAAAGTTCATGGTCCTTGTCTTGAGGAGTTCCGCATTTGGGAAGCATATCAAAGAGAATTCTGCGTATGGTAAAGTCCTTGTATCGAGAAGACCATCGATACAAGGCGTCTGGCGGATCAAGATAATTGCTAAGGAGATGACACAAGTCCGTGGTCCTTGTATTGAGTGGAGGATTGTTATGGGACAATCCAAGTACACACATCGGTAATACAAGGGAAGGGACCCTTGTATATTAGTGTCCACCAAGTTCATTAGTACGAGGCCTTTTGGGGGAGGAACCCCAATAATAAATCCCTGCGGGCTTGGCCCAAAGCGGACAATATCGTACTAATTGAGCTGCCCGATTACAACATTATTAAGAGGAAAACATTAGAAACACAGGAAAAAGTAGACACCCCACCCCCCAAATACTCTTACAGAGCAACACATTAGCGAAGCAAACTTAAAACAACAGTTTTAAATGACACTCTATAGGCAACCGACATGTAGATCATGCAACCATTTGCTCCAATGCTTCAATCTCCATATTTGGGATCTTAATTTTCTAGTTTTTCCATTTACTTAAAATATACTTATCGAAGTCTTAATATAATTTGTTCATATTAATTTTTGTATAGTTTGTCATATTAATCGTCAATGGGAGGCTGAGGAGATCTACTGGCAACAAAAATCCAGGGTCCGGTGGCTGAAAAAGGGGGATTAAAATTCTTCCTATTTCCATACGGTTACTCGTGCTAGGAGAAAACGAAATTTTGTTGCTGGTCTCCGTTGTGACAATGGCGAATGGGTCACTGAGGAACCAGGGAAAACAGCCATTGCCACAGACTTTTATCAGTCGCTCTTCACCTCCGAATAACATGTCCCAAATATGACTGAGCGGGTAGAAAATCTCCCCATTTCACATCGTATTACTCCGGAGATGAATGCTGCCTTGACGGCCGAAGTCCTACCTAGTGAAGTTCGGAAAACTGTGTTTTCCATGGGGTCAAAGCAAGCCTCGGGCTCCGATGGATTTACAGGGAAATTCTTTAAGGCTTTCTGGGATGTTGTAGGTGATTCGGTAATCACAACTGTATGTTCTTTCTTTGAGACGAGTCGGATGCTCAAAAGTTTTAATCACACTTGGCTCGCCTTGATTCCTAAGGTGGATAATGTGGAGACTATGCGGCAATTACGTCCAATCAGTCTGTGCCAATTTGTTTACAAAATTATAACCAAGATTATGCCTGAAAGGCTTGCGAGTATCCTTCCTCAAATCATCTTCGAGGGTCAAAATGCTTTTATCCGCGACCGTCAGATAATTGACAATATCCTCCTTGGACACGAGTTGATGCATTATTTGAAAATCAAAACACGAGGCAAGAAGGGGTACATGGCTCTAAAGGTTGACATTGAAAAGGCCTATGATAGAGTCGAATGGCCCTTTCTCCTCGCAGTTATGAATAAGATGGGTTTTAACTCTGTCTAGCAAGGTTGGATTCACGAGTGCCTCCGGTCCTCCTCTTTCTCTATGCTTATGAATGGATCCCCGTCGGGCTACTTTAAGCCTTCCTGGGGGCTGCGCCAGGGAGATCCGCTGTCCCCTCCATTGTTTGTGATTTGCACTGAGGGATTTACGGCTCTCCTGTGGAAGGCAATTGAGGGGAAGAAACTTCAGGGTGTTAAAGTGGCTCCCCGTGCCCCCAGAATCTCTCACTTGTTTTTCGCTGACGATTCTTACTTGTTTCTGTGGGGGACTCTTCAGGAATGTGAGAATCTGATTGTGGTCTTGAACGAGTATGAGGAACTGAGCGGTCAACGGGTGAATCTAGAAAAATTGGCAGTTTGCTTCATCAAGAATATAATTCTGGCTTATCAAGAATTCTTGGCTTCGATTTTGGGGGTCGGAGCGGTGGGAGTCCACGATAAATACCTATGGTTACCCACTCTTTTTGCTCGGTCCAAAATGGCTATGTTCCGGTACCTGGAGGAGAAATTGTTAGAGAAGCTTCAGGGATGGAAGCAAAAAACGTTATCATGGGCGGCCAAGGAGACCCTCATTAAGTCTGTTGCTTTGGCTTTGCCCCTGCATGTAATTTCTTGCTTCAAATTACCAGCTTCGCTGTGTCGTATCTTGAACAAACATGTGGTTCGGTTCTAGTGGGGGGCGGCTGAGGGACAGTTGAAGATTCGATGGGCCTCCTGGCGTTAGATGTGCAGAAGCAAGCATGATGGGGGGATGGGATTTCGCCGGTTTGAGTAGTTTAATCAGGCTCTGTTATCCAAAATCGGCTGGCGTATCCTAACTGATCCTCAGTCCCTCCTGGCCCAAGTGTACAAAGGGAAATACTTCCCCACTGGGTCCTTCCTCAACGCTACAGCTCTCTTCCGTCCTTCTTGGGGGTGGCGGAGCATCCTCTTTGGACGCCAGTTATTGGAAAAGGGACTGCGATGGCAAATCGCTAATGGTCGATCAACATCTTTGTTAAATTCCAACTGGATCCCTCAGTTTCAGTTGGATCCCCCACAATATAATCCTTGCATATTGCCCGATGGGGGTGACCCTCTAGTAGTCGAGATTATTTGTCAGGGGGAGGGGCGTTGGTGTGACCGCAAACTTAGCCAATGGTTTGATCCTTCTACGTGTAAGGCTATCAAAGCTATTCCCCTCCCGCGCCATAATGTGGAATACATGCTGATCTGGCATGAGACAGCTAATGGGGTGTTTTCGGTCAAATCTACCTATCACCTTGCTGTCTCGCTTGATAAGCGGAGGGGTGGATGGAAATATTCTGTCAGCTGGATGGATAAGGCTAGTTGGATTCGCCTTTGGGAGGCAAACATTCCCCCTAAGCTGAAGATGTTCGTTTGGCAGATCCTCTCTCGGGCCCTCCCAACTACTAAGGCTCTCAATGAACGTAACGTCCCGGTTCACCCTCGCTGCCCAGTTTGCTGGGATAGTTCAGAATCATTAGAGCATTTGTTCCTATACTGTCTGGTGGCTCGGGCCCTCTGGGATTACTCGGGACTAGATTATCTGGGGGAGGAAAGGCCTCGTTAGACGTTTCCTTTGTTTCTCAAAAGGCTCTTGCCCTTAATCAATCAACCAACCTTGTATATGGCGGTGGTTGCCATCCTCTGGCGGATCTAGCGTTCTCGTAACTGGGTGGTAATTGAAGGGAAACATTTTGGGGTCCAGGTGTTGATGCGTCAGTTTATCCAGCAGTATGAGGAATGGGTTCGGTTGCCCGCAGGCTCCTCCCACTAGTCCAGGTCAGCTGGACGCTGACGGAGATCCTCGTATGGTCTGTAGGTGGGATGGGGCCACTAGGAGGGGGTCCCATTCGGCTAGTGGAATGGTTCTTGTGTATCCTACTGGGGCGATCAGTATGGTTGCGGTAGTGCAATTTTCGTTTATTGATGACCCGATGGTAGTGGAACTGTTGGTGTTTCTGGAGGCTGTGCTTTGGTGTCGAGGGTTAGGGCTAAATGATGTTAGGTTTGAAGGCGACGCCAAAGTCATTATTGACAAGCTCAATCGGGGGGACCATGGAGATAACAGGATGGGTGCTGTTCTTGAAGAAATTGCTAATTGTCTCCATGTCCAGCCTGGGTATAGTATTCGGTTCGTCGGTCGGCGTAGTAATAGGGTAGCCCATATGGTGGATAGAAAAGCCCTTTCTTTGTATCCGGCCATGAGTCGTTCCTTTGATTTTCAGACGCGGCTAACTTCCAGGGTGTAACTGTCTATTATTTGAATCAATATAAGATTATCTTTTGTAAAAAGAAAAATCGTTTGTCATCATTTTTTAATACAAAATTTTCGATAGAATTTTGTAAAATTCCAAGACTTGAATTTTTGTTGTGAAAAATTATGGACCAAATTTGGGTTTACACACAACACTTGAAAATGATTGATCTAATTAAACCCTAACTAATCTCCTAATTAAACTTCAATTAATCCTTAAAATCTTAAAAAGAAAAAGAAAAGCCACGTGGCGGGTTTTGATGAGTCTCTATATTTGGGGAACCCTCATTTCCACCCCAAAATTTGGGGATCTTTTTGCAGATCTCCCCCAAATATAGAGACTCCATTGGAGCTAACTTTTTTCCAAATATAAAGACTCCCCCATTTATAGAGGCTCCATTGGAGTTATCCTTACTAACTTGAAAGAGACATTTGACGGTTAATATTTCAAAATTTTAGTAATTTAACCAGAATAAAAGTTATAAAAGTACGAACGATGACTAATATTTTGATGTGTTACAAAAGATTGTACTAATATGTTGAAATACTATACTAATATGATGCCTTTCAAAATGTTTGGTTAATAATCTGAAAAAGTAAAAAAATTGGCTAATAAATTATATTAAAAAACGTATAGCTAGACACTAAAATATAGGTGTCAAATATTGATTTCACCCATTTCTTTTTCCCGCAAAAGAATACATCGGTCAAAGCCTCAAAGGGGCAGATAATTAAGAAGATTACCTATCTTGTCTTGTCTTCTTGTTGTGTGGATTAGAATGAACGAACAGTCGCCAGAAAGCTGAGTGTGCGTGCGTCGATCTCCACTCAAGTTGTAAAATTTGAGAAGGCTGGCTTTCTAGCGAGTTGGAGTGAGGCCAGACGGGTGGCAGCTAGCGACGGGCCAGTAATCATCCCTCGCGTAAATTTTATTTGGTCAAAATTATGGTACTCACTAATTTTCTGGGGTATTATTAGATTACAATTTTGACTGTCATTTGGCCTTCATTAACGTTTAAAACAAATAACAGGCCTGCAGCACCACAACCAGGCAACTTCCTTACCGTTTTTTTTTTTAATATTTTGTTTCCGCTCAAATTAATCACCTCATCACTCTTTAGATAGATATGATTTAGTCTGAACTCCTTTTTTTTTAATGAGATTACAGTGTATAATCTTTTTGCTAGTTGTTCATCAAATTCTTACAATAATATTCAACTAAGTCTCATAATTGAGATCTGTAGGTTCACAAGGTTGTAGGCTAATTGCATTGAGGCGCTAGGGTCAGTTGGATAAAGTTTCAGGTCTGAATCCTCTTTTGAGCTAGGTATAAAAAAGAATTACTTATTTCGTGAAATAGATTTTATTAGGTCACGGAATTCATTTTATTGCATCCGATGACTTAAATTTGGATTCATATTTTTAAGATTGGGGGTAATCTTAAGTGATATGTCCAATAGGTCTAGCATGCTCATTTGGTCCATGAAGTTCAATGACTTCCAGGAAATCTATTGGGTTTTTAAAGAATATGTGTGAATCTAAATAAAAGTTTGTGAGGACACCTAAACTGAAACTCATAGTAAAGTACATCAAATATATGTGATAATAAGAAGAGTATCACATTCAAGATTTCGTAGTGGTTAGTGATAACATCATGTTGTAAAAGGATATAGTGGACCATGTATGCATGGAGTGCATCAACACTTGGACAAATAACCAAAAAATTTATAAAATTAATAATGTAAAAATTAATAATCGAATGAGTATAGAAAAAAAAGGACGAGTGACATGTCATGCTAACTGGAGAGGACGGATTCACATACGTACACTGATACACCGTGCACGAGATAAAGAAATTGATTCACATGCACATAATCGGATCAATCTATTTCACCCTCGGAACCTACTGTGCCCAAACATACAAATAACTAAGACAAGAAACTCATCCTCTCTCCTTGTTCTGTTTTAAGAAGAAAGTCCATTAGCAAGGGGAACTATTTGATTAAATCAATTAGGTAGACAATATAGCAGAATCATTAGTGAATGATAAGATATTATCCTGCTAATCATTAGGTGGACATTGCATTATTATCCTGCTAATCATTAGATATTAGGCTGAGATTCTGAGGGCAAGTAAACCCATTTCCCCTCATTTGACATTATTTTTGACGAGGAGGGAAAATGAAAGAGTATTTTGTGGTGGAATGTTCTGTGGCGAAAATGTATATTTTTTCTAAAACCGTCCAGCCGTAGAGTATGGAATGAAATTTATTTTAAGTGATATATAACAGCTAGTTGTGATTTGTGAATGATGAATGGTAACCATTAACCAATCTATCGTTGAAATCATGAAATAATTGGTTCGTTGCGGAAACTCTGTATATATGCAATGCAGGCTGAGTGTCCAACTCACCATTTCCACCCAATCACAGCACATAGTAACAGCGCCATTAGCCAGCCCCCATCTGTAGTTGTACGTTAGTTTAACGCTATAAAGCCTTTTGCCGTTGGACGCTATTGACCGCAAATTCTTGGTCGAGTATATAGTTAATATTATGTTCAATATATTTGTGTGGTATGAAGTTTGATCAAAATAAACATTCTGGTCAATCTTTTCGATCTATAACATTTTGGCCCAAACTATACATCAAAATAATTAAATTGGCTAAACCCCCATTTGACCGTTAACTTGGACGGTAAAACGCGTTAACTAATGGTCAATGCGCCACGTCACTGCCCTATAAGCATAAAAAACTTAAAAAATTCAGAAAAGCCACATAATTTCCATTTTTTAATTATTAAAATTAAGTAAAAACAAATATAAAAAATTAAAAATTCAGAAAAGCAACACAAACTCCCCGATGGATACTTTTCCCTACGCATTCACTGGCTGGATGGCTTTCGAAAACGTGGTCGCGCCGACATCTCCCCTTTCCTCCGCTGTTTCTTCACATAATCTGTCATACCGGGCCGCTCAATTAGTACGATATTGTCCGCTTTGGGCCAAGCCCGCACGGATTTACTCTTGGGTGTCCTCCCCAAAAGGCCTCGTACTAATGAGATTGGTGGACACTAATATACAAGGGTTCCTTCCCTTGTATAGCCGACATCTCCCCTTTTCTCCGCTGTTTCTTCACATAATCTGTCATATCGGGTCGCCCCATTAGTATGATATTGTCCGCTTTGGGCCAAGCCCGCACGGTTTTACTCTTGGGTGTCCTCCCCAAAAGGCCTCGTACTAAATTGGGCTAGGTGGACAATTATATACAAGGGTTCATTCCCTTATATTTCCGATGTGGTACTTGGACAGTCCCATAACATAATCCTTTGGTAACCACAGTCTCAAATTAAACCCAGCGGGAGTGACATCAAGAATCGCTAAAACTTCTACTGCTTGGAAGAAGAATCGCTAAACATCCTCAAATCAACTTGTCCGAGAGGCTGCAGAAGACTCAAATCTCTACCATTGCAGCTGCTGCTGAAGAAAAGAAGAAGAAAAAAGAAGCCTCCCCTGCCAAATCTCCTTCCTTCCGATTATGGAATGGAGCCCGTTCTCTTCCCAATCCGATCCAGTGGTCGGCGGAGGCGGGGAGAGGTCTCCTATCCACGTCTCCTATCCCCAATCCAACCTAGTGGTCGACGATGGAGGCGGGGAGAGGTCTCTTATACCTAATCCTAGTCTCCTATCCATGACCCAGACTTGCGCGACGACGAGATCGATGTCTTTTTACGGCGGCAGCTAACCGCGACGAGGAAGCGGAAACGACATTGTGCAAATCCAACGAAGTAGGTCTCCTTCTGTCGGCTTTCTTCGTGTCAGCTTCAGATTTGGATCTCTGATCTTGACACTCTGCCGAAAGGAGAAGAAGCTCCATCGCAGTTGGGAGGGTGGCGTAGCCCTCAAGCTCGCAATATTCAACGATGGCGAGGAACAGGGAACAGACGATGGCGGTCGACGGACGACGATGATGACGAATCATAAAAATCATCATCGTCGAATCATAAAAATCCCCAAATCGAATTGCAGAGGACTGACGTGGAACCAATCGCCGAATGGGATGACCCAGTGGTGGGTGAAGCAATTTGGATGAAGAGAATCGCCGGATCGAAGCGGCCAGAGATTGGGTGGAGCAACCGAGGTGGAAGTTTTGTGGTTGTTATTGTAATGTTTTTGTTGTTATTAATTTCATATATATATTTTTTAAATTTAACTGATAATATTTTAAAATTAGGGAATATGTGGAAATTGTAAATATTTTAAGTGTTTATTTGCTGATTAGGTAGTGACATGACGCGTTAACCCTTAGTCAACGCGTTTGAATGTACAAGTTAACGGTCAAACAGCGGGTTTGGCCAATTTAGTTATTTTGATGTATAGTTTGGGCCAGGATATTATAGATCTAAAAGATAGTTCAAGATGTTTATTTTGGTCAAAGTTCAGGCCATACAAATGGATTACATCAAACAAATGAGTATAGATTAATTAAATAAGTTATTGATTTTCCATCGCATGCCTTGACTTACAGATGGTACATAGTTACTATAGTTTAGTCTTGGAATTGAGTCCAATAGTAGACATGTACCTAATATATTAGGTCCTTTGTAGTATTTATATAATTGTTTTCTAATTAGATCGATACGAAATCTAAAACAACTGTTTAAAATGTTAGTTTTTCGAGATGTGATTTGTTTCGAACTCGAAAACACGTTAAGAGAGAAAGCGAATGAGCTCAAACGAGATTTGGTGAAATATCTTAGAGAATGAGTTAGTCACCTCAAACGTTTAATTGATCATCTAAGATTGAATGATGTAACACTTCTCTATTTTCCAAGCTTATTGTAAAAAAGAAAAATGAGTAAGAGAAAATGAAATTATGTTGAAATTAATTTTTGATATATTAAAAATCTATTGAACATGTCTGATTTTAATATTTTATTTTATCAACGAGAAGAGAGAGATATTTATAACTTGATCTGTAGAATTAGACAAAGGTCCATGGAGCAAAACAAAATCTAACTCCCACAATCGGGGATGTCCAAATGAAAACAAACAAATCTACCAAAAAAATACAAATCTAAGCCAACCTATTAGAGGTTGGAAACGAAAGTCCCCGTACTCCCCAAATGCCATCATCGTTCATATGTAGAACTTTGAGTTTCAACTTCAAGACTTCGAAGGATAAAGGAGTTGTCCTAGTATCCAATCGAAATTGGACGGACTCGAAGTCGATTTGGAAAAACTTGGCTATACGAGTGATAATATATCCCCAGTGTAGTGCGGCGACCCGATGATCTGTCTCATTATGCTTGAAGATAGATAAGATAGCCAAATCGAAATGTAGAGATTAGGGTAGATTCATACTATAAAAGAAGGTGACGTCTCGGGCAGTTAGGTTGCCTTTGCTTCGTTTATTTCCTCCCGCAATCACTTGGTGAATGAGCCGCCACTCCGATTTCACTTCGCCTACTTTAGATAGCTTGACATCCCATTGTCTACTATCGGATTTCTTGACCTCAAATTCATAAAATGTCTTGAAACAAGGGATGTCGGATTCCCTTATCAAGGTTGCAAAGGTGTCCGGTGAGTCTACGAAATATGTCGGGTAAATATACATTGCTCTAGTGAATTTTCGGATCAATAATTGTCGATGCTCTCATACTAGTTAGAATTGGATGTTGCCTTCAAGGTCGGTTGCACCCCTCATATCTCGAATGGTAAGAGTACTGATAAACTTCAAAACAAGCACCTAGTAAATATTTTCTTGGATAGAGATCAACTTAAGTCATTCCAACTTCTGTATTTTAGAGCGGATTGCATCCTCAATCCCAAGTTGCACGAGGAGTATCTAGTTGAGACATGTACTCTCGCCTAAGGGTAATCCTTGAAGCCACAGAAGTTTGGTCTTGAATTGCTCGGGCACATGTTCCAAAAAGTAATGAGTGATGTGTTCTATGCCGCCTTCTACGTTGACTTGATCATCTCGATATAGGTTCCTTAATAGATGTTGAGTAGGAGATGATGGTTGAGGTTCTTCAACAACTACTTCTTTTGACTTGGATTTCCTTGTCTTCGTCCGGTGGCCTTGTCAAGGGTGAGAGGTACGAGAAGAGGAACTCTCACCACGCGCCATTTCCTTAGTCTTGTATTTTATTCTTCAAAACAAGTAGTACACGATGCACAACTCATCAATCCAAACATCACATATCATAAGGGTTGTTTTGCAATGAACTATCACAAAGCCTCTAAGTCCCCCCCCCCCCCCCCCCCCCCCCCACACACACACACACTTGAGTGAAACCAAGACATAGGCAAAAGAGGAAACTTAGATGGAGAGATAATTCCAAGATAATGAAAAGTAGGATATCCCAAATCAATTCAAAATCAACTAATTCAAATTACCCCATGCAATGAAGCTGATGCTCAATCAATAGGGTTGAAGAGATTGAACCCTATGTAAATGAGGACTTTCTACGAACACTGGTGTGCGATTTTTGAAAACGAAATAAATGCATGAGACTATCCCACCATGGTCTCAAAAATCGCATAGCAAGTTCATTAAATAGAAAAAAAAAACAATCCTATGCCACAAAAGTGTCCTTCCAAGAAGAAAATGGGCATTCAAAATTTCAAGCATTCAACACATTTTGGGCAAGATAAGGTGGTTAAAACATGAAATATTGGGGTATGTACCTTATCTTCCTAGGGGACATGTTGGGAATCCAAAATCAATTAATAATTCCTCTCAAAAGATGTTGGAAAATGGAACTAGAGAAGGCAAGTTCAAAAAGAAAAAACTAAGAGGAGTGGAGAGGCATGGTAGGTAGATCTAGAAAGATTGGGATAAAATGATATGATTCCAAATGGCCAACTCTACAAGGTTTTATTGCTTGCCAAAGAAGCTATCAAAGTTGGTAAGAAAAGATTCAGAATTTGGCTAAGTGTCAAAATAGTTTCGTGGTGCTTACTTTGGAGGCTTATTTCTCACAAATGGTGCATGGGAAATTCAAATGGAAGGATTTAAATTGAAGATGGAGTGTTATACTACATTTTTGAGGATTGGTTTGCTCCTGTATCAGTTCCTAAGACCATTTTCCAAAGCTATCAAAATGCGATGAAGAAATAGGAAAACTGCCTGAAAATGGCAAAGTCTGGGAACGTGTTCATGAACCCTACTTTAAATCCCTATTCATGGTGGATGGTTCAGAGTCGAAGCATAAGGGATTTGCTACATCAAATTAAAAGTTTTTTTCTACAACCTAAAGGAATTGGATGATCAAAAGCTTACCTCTAGGGCTTCGAACAAAAAGCTCATGTTATGAAGCCTGTTTTTTTCTGGCAGATTTCTTAGTTAGAAAGAAACTTGTTTTGGACTAATTTACTTACCTTGTTTAGTTAGACCAAAAAAAGATTTGAATAAAGTTTGTGGATCACTCGAATAAATGCAGGAATATGCTAGGATTCTTTTACCAAGTTAGTTAGCTTGTTTGCTTATTAGATTAGAGTTAGAATTCGTGGATTGATATTCTATTTAAAGGCTTCAAAGCCTTGTTGTAAATCAGTCAAGTTTTAATCAAAGAATACCCCTTTTTTCTTTAGTGTTTACTCTTGGATTGTGCTTTGTAAATTGGTGGATTCCAATTACAAAGTGTATTTCGTATCAATCAAGAAACACACTTGATTGTGGTCGAGCTTCGATTTGATATTGTTCGAGCCTTTCCACAGGTTTGGAATTGCACAACAATCTGCTTTCGCAAACCCAATTATCCTGTGTTTGTTTGTGTTTTAGTTGTCTTCGAATTTGATCAAGCGAACTCGTGAATTAGCTGCATACTTTGATCATTATAGGCCATCGAGCTTATATCATATAATGAACACACATTGATCTAATGAGAATTTCCTTTATTTAAATAGGAAAGGGTAAGATCGCGGGTTGAGCCCCCAAGAACGTACCACGATCCACAATCTACCAACCGCAATATTTGCCCGGTTCAGAACATAGCACTTTCTCCACTTCTCTAAGTTCAATCATTCATCCCAATCATTCAAACATCAAAGGCAAGGACTAAGTTGTATAAATCATTTTCAATGCATCTCTAATCTACTACTCAAACAATTATTCAAAAAGAAAAAGAAAAAAATACGCAAACCAAGTGGTTGAGTTGCCTCCCAACAAGCGCGTCTTTAAGAGTCTTTTTGTTGGACTTGACTCTTTGAGATCAAGAAGAAAGGTCTTCATCCTTCACCAACGTTTCTTCGTAGAAATCACACTTATGGTGAAGTCCCAAGTGAAGACCATGGAGCCTCTCGGATGCCTCATCCGGTGCTTGAGATAGAAAGGATCTATTCGAAGATTGATGTGAAAGATGGTTAAGTTTAAGCTTCCTTGTAGAATTATCTTTGTCTATGAATGACTTATAGCATTCCCCGAATTCTTCATCTTCAAGTATAGGAGCTAGGTTACCAATAACCCTCCGACTTCCTTTCTTGGGATGTCTCTTCTCAAACATGAACCTTTGAAGTTTCCTTATATGATCATCGGGAAGATGAGAAACTTTAAACAATTCTTGGGTTTCCCTTTTGTAAGAAAACTTCTCCTTACCCGGTCTATTCATGATCTTGCAAGCATCACTCGCACCTTCAACTTGATTGTCATGGGGATCGAAATGGGAGACCATATGGAACCACTCTAACTCGGGGCTCGAAGATGGTGTGGTAGGAGGTATAACCGACTCATAATCCATCTTGACATCGTCCCACTTGAAATACTAGTGAAAATTTGGGATTGAAGTCATCTTGTAGCTTATTTCCTTCTCACCAAACTTTAAGGTGATCTTGCTTCCACTTACATCAATGATAGTCCGTGTCGTGGCTAAGAATGGTAGGTCTAGGATAATCGATGCATCACACCCCTTCGGGTCGAGAAGCATGAAGTCTACATGATAAACAAAATGAGCACATTTCACCAAGACATTCTCTTTGATTCCTCTTGGTTCGACAACGGACCTATTGGCCAACTCAATTTGCATCTTAGTAGGTATGAGTGATCCAAGGTCTAATTTGTTGAATATTCGTATATGCATAGTGTTGATGCTAGACCCCAAGTCGGCTAACAGATTCCAAAGACTCCTAAAGTGCATGGAATAGTGAAGATTCCCGGATCTTGAA